GGCCTCCTCCCTCCCCACAGCAGGAGCAGCAGCGGGAAAGGTTGGCGGAGGGGGGCTATTTTGGGAGCGTCTCCTTAGCAACAGCTGCCACGGCCGTCTGTGGCGGTTTTTCTATAGGTGCTAAAATATTCCACCCTGGTGACTAGTGAGTACTGGGGGGTGGGCAAGGGTGGGGATGGGGGCGGGCGAGACCCCCCTACTGCATCGTGCCCCAGGCACAGCCTGCTGGGATAGGCCTTGAGCCTCTGGACCTCACTCCCAGGGACATTAAGACTTTGAGGTGGACCAGCTGTGCCCTGGTGTGATGGCTGCTCTCAACAGCTGCACAGCCTACCCTTGCCCGTCTGCAGAATGGACTGGCTGGACTTTCAGACACTCTGTAGGACCAAACCTCAGGGCTCGGTCGGGGCTCTGCATTGTGCCCTGACCCTTCCTCTCTGGTCCTCAGCTGTCCCGGCTGCCTAGCCCAAGTTCCCCTCCCCTCCCCTCCTCCCCGGCCCCTGCACAGGCCCTCAGCAGCCCCATGGGGAACCAGGAGACTTGAGTGGGCTACTCGTGTAATCAGGTAAGGGAGAGTTTGGCCAGCCTGGCATGACCTTGCTCCAGAAAATACAAGTCAAACACGGTTCAAATTCTGCCTTAGACACTTGTTGACTCCTGGGGTGACCCCAGGGAAGTCACTTCCCAGTTGTTTCCTCACCTGGGCAGCAAGGATGGCAGCAGGCAGTCTACCTCGCAGAGGCAGAGCTGAGGGGGTGTGGGTTGAGAATGGAACAGGCAAGAACCGTCGGCAAAGTTCTGTACTGAGGGACATCGTTCCCACATGTCATGAGCTGCAGAGCAAGTCACTCTTCTAGGGAGCTAGCTCTGGCCCTGCTAGGCCAAGACCCTACAAGAATGTGACCCCTACCTCAGTTTCCCCATCAGTAACAATGCCTTATCATGGTGCTCTGATAATGATGAAATCAGATGGTGCCTGGGAAGGCTTAGAACAGTGGTTCTCAACGTGTGGGATATGATCCCTTTGGGGGTCGAGCAACCCTTTCACAGGGGTGGCCCCATTCATAACAGTAGCAAAAGTACAGTTATGAAGTAGCAATAAAATTAATTTTATGGTTGGGGGTTCCCCACCACATGAGGAACTGTATGAAAGGGTCTTGACATGAGGACGGTTGAGAACCACTGGCTTAGAATGTGCTGGGAGAAGGGTACGTGCTCCATGGGTCTCCTTCTGCAAGGGGAGAGGGCTTTCCTCCCTCTGCCCCCACCAGCTGCCCCCTACAGCTTCCCCCTTCTCCGGTTCTCTGGTTGAATTGTATATCCCTCTAGGGTGAAGACTACTTGCCCTTTGAGGACCTCTTCCAGGCTACCCCAATAAAGATGCGGCCCAAGGGAAGCAACTTGCCCAGAGTCCCACAGACTCTTAGACTCAAGTCCCTTTTCCCTTCCACCCATTTCACATCATCCCTGCCCCCACCTCCAATAGGTTGGGAGCTGCTCAAACAGGGGTGGACGGTGGCATCTTTATCGTCTTCTGATATCTTCAGAGCAGCCCTGGGCACAGGCACTCCCCACCCCACTTGACATGGGAGGAAACCGGGGCCCAAGGTCATACAGAAGTCAAAAGGTGGAGGCTCAGGGGTTCCTGAATCTCTCCCTGTCTGGAGCCTCCCCATCCCTGTCCCCCTCAAAGGGTCCCAGTCTCACCTTCCCCCAGGTGTCAGCCCTAAGTCCAGCCAAGTCCCCATGACCTGATGTTCACTTTCTCCCTGTCATAGGAGGGATGTCTCAACAATCACAATGCCCACCCCGAGAAGTCACTGCCCCCAGGTCCTCCTCCTCCTCCTCCAAGTTGTGACCTAGCACGGGGGAGGCTGACTTCATGCTCGTGCCCTGCACACACCCTGTCTCTATCCCTTGCCTGTACCCCAGACCCAGGCCAGGCCACTTGTCTCATCTGAGTCCCCCCACTCTCAATCCTGGGAGGCACACCTGCCACACGCCTGACACTGGCCAGATGTCCAGGCTTGGAATCCTCACATCCCTTCACACACCAGGGATCCCGCAGCTGCTTGGCGGAGCTCCTAGCTGCCTGCCTGCCAGAGTGCAGCGGGCAGGTGATAGCCGAGGGATACCTGCACAAAGGAGAAGGGGGACAGAGGTGCTCATGTGTATTTGACCTGCCCCAGGGAGCCGGCTCCTTGAGGGAAAGTAACTTGCTCCAGGGCACAAGTGCTCATCCGAGTGTTTGAACCATGGTGCCCAGACTCTCGTGTCTACTACACAAGAATCATCCTTGGGCCCAGCCCCGGGACGAGCACTTGGTGGGCAGCCAGGGCTGAGTGAACAAAATGCCTCCAGCTGGGCTGGGGGCTGCCTTCCCACAGTTGGTGAGGTCCAGGCTGCCCTGGGAGAACAGCGCGAATTCCCTGGGGGTTTGGAAAGGAGGGATCACATGTGTGAGGGCAGGGAGCTATGGACACACCTGGTGTGTCCTAGGATCCAGTGAGAATCGAATATAAGGGTGTGAGGGGCAGGGTGAGGTGGGCCTGGGGCCTTTGGGGTGATGCCAGCCCACGCACTGGATAGGAGGTGGTTCTCAGACCACAAGGGGTGCTGGGGTGGTGGTGGTGGCGGCTGGGTTTTCAGATCCTATCAGTTCTCAGCCAGACTTTTGGGGTGCTTCTGGGTCTCCTCTAGGATGGAGGCTGGAACTCCTGATCAGTAATGGCCAGGCTCTGAGAGTCCCTGACTGTCTACTCTAAATGTCTTGTCCTCTTGTCACCCTGGAGCGGGGGCTGGTCCCTCCTGCCTCCTCCAGGGCCCATGGCCGAGGAAGCGGCTGTCTCCCGGGACTCTGGGGACGTAGGAGGCTCTCCCCACACTCCCCCAGGAAAAAGGCGCTATTCCTCCCTTATTAAGACAGCAGTGGGAACGGCAGGGAGCGAAAGTCCGGGTTTGGGGTGGGCTCCGCCGCGCCGCAGTGACCTTGCGTGAACTTCTGGCCGCCTTTGGTACTCAGTTTCCCCGTCTGTAAACTGGGGCGGAGCTAACTGATTCTTAAGATTCCCTCCAGCAAGACCGTCTCGGTTTCCCTCCGAGGTGGGTGGGGAGGACCCTTCACTGTTCGCACTCCGGGAGGAACAGGGGACAGCCGGGCGCCGCAGGACCCCGGGAGACCCTCTCTCCCCAGCCGCCTTTGAGACTCAGTAGAAACCTCCCCACTTGCCCCAGGGGGCTAGATAACCAGGAGTGGATCTTCGGAACGGGTTCGGGGAAGAGCGCTCCTGGAGCGAGAAGGAAAACCCGGGAAGGATTAAGGCAGGAGCGGGGCCGCGCAGCCCCCAGCCCCTGCCCGCGCCCGGCGCTACGGAACCCGTGGGAGGGCTCTGACGGCCGGTCAGGCGGAGGGGAAGGGGCGGCGGCGGGCCCCTCGGGCCGCCCTGGGCTCCAGGGCTGGGTGGGGGGTGCGCAGCCTCCGCAGTGGGGCGCGGGTCACGTGTGAGGAGGGGCGAAAGTCGCGGAAAGCGGGGCGGCGTGCCGCGAGTTGGGAGT